TTGAATTTATCTGTTCCATTTACTTGTCTTCCCTCGTCTATCTCTAGGTTTCTCATATCCTTGTTTTCTGTTGTTAGGTATTCGGTTTTCTCTAAGTTTATTTCCATTCCGTTGTTTTTATATTCATCTTCTAGTTTTCTGAGCATAAAGCTGAGATCTTCTTCATCTTGTGCGAAAATGGCAAAAGGTAGACCGATCCATCTGGCGTTTGTTGATCTAAAGAAAGCATACGACTCAATACCTAGAGTGAAATTATGGGAAGCAATGAATGATCTCGGAATCCGACAAACACTAATAAAAGCAGTTAAAGCACTGTACAAAGAAAACAAAGTAGCTATTAAATGTGGAAATAAAGCCTACAATCCATTTAAGACCACAAAAGGATTTCTACAAGGCTGTGCTACGTCCCCTACTCTGTTTAAAATATTCTTGGAAAAGACACTCAAACCATGGAGAAGAAAGTGCGAAGGAATGGGCATACTAGTAAGAGACGAATACCTTAAGTTTTGCCGACGATCAAGTAGTCATCGCACAAGACAAGAACAAGATGAAGAAAGTTATAACAGTATTAAAAAACAACGATTTTGTTGTTCATTTTCCAATAACTCTTCTGTTCATTTACCGATTTATTTAATGTAGAATTTAGCATACCGTTTTAGCAGGTTTTTTACTTATGAGCAAAATATCTGATTGAAATAGCCTGAAATATGCTAAGAAGATTCCTAGTTATCAAGAAGTTGGATCTGGTTTACTCTTTTTTAAGATATAGGAGCGGGTAACACTTTTTTTTCTTCAAACGTCAAATAATGATGACATTACTTATCTAACTTGATCCTGTCAAAGTTTGATATCTCCGCCGGCAGCAGTTTTTTTCCCATTTCTTTACGGCGGAGGGAAAAATGTTGTCATGGCAACAATATGACTTGCCCTCTATTACGCGCCTCACTTCGTTCGGCGCGTAATATCGGGCGCGTCAAGAAAAGTCATGCTTCTCCGCCTCATAAAGTAATATACTATTCTTACTGTCTTTATTTTTAATTTAATTTTATTTACTTTTTATTCAGGGATTTTTTCCTTCGTTGATAAATTATTTCTAGTCGTCCGATTAAACTTGAATTAATTCTAATTATTATCACCTATTATGTTTATTTCTATTGGTTTTCGCTTTCATTTCCTGTCTGGTCTCTATGGTGAATTACCTTTTTTTATTTTGCAGATGTTGCAATTTAAACTCTCAATACATTTTATGCGCTATAAACCAGCATCAGTTTGAACACTTGTGTTCGCGACTATCAATGGAAGGTGTGTTACTGATGCAAGTGAATGAACTCTTTGTTCATTCATTCGTATTAACAACAAAGTAACAAATGAGATTATAAACTTTAATTATTCTTTACCATCGGAGATGAGGTTTTAGTTCATTAATCATGCTGCATTAATAAAATTTGTATTGTTTATTATCATAGTTGCTGACCAGTATTAATTATAAGCCTGATAGGATTTGCTTTACATGTACCGTTTATTACATTTGATCAAATATTATTTTGTTTATTCAGACTGTGAAATTAAAACTAAGCAAATTATGTACTCTCCTTGATTCATTTCGATACATTGTTTATAAGTCGAGTTTATTTCTCTTACTGGCCGTGCCGATTGCAGGATTGTAGTCATTCCTATTTTTGATAGACTGTACATTAGACTAGGCGGGATTTGTAGAAATTCAGACCATAATGGACATTTTCCATAGGAAGCTATTTTTTGCTGGAATCCCTTCAGGATGTGCCCAATATCGATAATGTATCTTTTTTATTTTGAAGAAGCGTCTTTTAATGTTCTTTAAGGGTAAATTTTCTTAAATTGATATGTGTAAAGCTCGTCAAGTTATTCAATTTTGAAGCGTCAAGTGTTTGAAAGTTTGAGCCTTCCTTTACATGTAAAAAATTTGCAACTATCTGAGGGTCTTATTTAGGGCCTACTATAAATTTGAAAATTTGCCATTTTTTTCCGGTAGGCTGGATTGCAAAATTATTATGCAAAACCTATCTGACCGATCTTAACAAAATTTAGCACACGTTTTAAACATATTAAAAAGTTTTTCTAGGCGGAATATGGAGGTTGTAAGTCAAGTTTAGAAAGTCAAAAACATTTAAAGGATTAACTTTATTGTTTTGTACTTGTTTTTTTCAATTATTGCTATTTTTCAACAATAAACATTAAATTTTCAATTTCTAGCTAACGACTGGGCTAGTTGTTTGGCTTCATGTAACCCTTGGTTAATCAATATTTTGTTTGATCTACCCAACGGCTTGGAGATCTTCCCCTAGGTCTCTCTCCTTCAACTCTACCCTGGACTATCAGTTTTTTCATTGTGCCTGTTCTTCTAGCAATGTGTCCAAAATTAAGTATGAAACTGTAAAAAAACTTTTTCGTTTGTGGGAAATATATAGGTACATTTTGCATTTTGTACAAAAGAATCTCGTTTTCTTAGTGCATCCAAGGTTTCAGCAACGCATGTAAGAATTTGTATTGCTGACAGAGCATATTGGCAAATGGTCATTACTGGTTTTTCTTACATCTATAAGCGGTAACTGTACAACTTTAGATCTTTTTACAGGAATTATGGGCTCTTCATCTTCAAATGTCTTCGGTTCTCTTGAAATAGACGTAGTTGCTTGTCTGCCGCTTGTAGGATTACCACCCCTTCTAATATACAGCTTAAATTCCAATAAATCCATTACCTTTTATCTCTTATCACCAAACGCTGCACTATCCTAACGACACTCTCTATTTAAATAAATCTGTCACAAAAATCCACACCTCCCATTGACTGGTTGTATTTAACAATTGTATTTGGGAAGGCGCCAGAATGTACTCTGAGTTTTTTTATCCCATCTTCATACGTCAGGGAAGGCAAAGAACCTGCAGGTGTAGAAGCCATTGTCACAGGTCTATTGTCCATTCATTTCAAAATATATCCATGTTCGTTGGATCAGTAATACGGGCACTTTTTAAAGCACTATTTGGCTAGTAGTGATTGCTGTATCTGATCAGAAATGTGTGCCACATTCGAGCTTTTGTTCCTTACTTCGGAACTCTTGAGTCTCACACCAATGTAGTTACTATCCTTGCAGGTTTATTGAATTCTTACAAGACTGTAAGTTTCCTTCCAGTTTCCTGGTGATTTAGGTTTTAGAATTAGCGTGGATCCCAAATGTATCTAAGCGGTGAGTAAGTTATTGTTTCCTTCTCATATAGCTAAGTCCAATACCATCGAACGAGGTGGTCATCACAGCCTTTATTATCACCGCTTACCCATTCTTCATAGGATCCTCGGCCTTCTTTTAGTAAAGCGGAATCATTTTTTATTTTGCTCCTAAGAACTCGTGTGATTCGATTATTCATGATGGTACCATTCAATTATTCATAAATAAATTGTTGTTTCTGGACACAAGCAGCATCAGGCCAAGTGTTTGCACTTTGATAAATAAAGAAATCCAAGACTAGCCCCGTTTTTAAAGCAAGCACAAAATTCTTTAAACCTACAGGATTAGGTTTGTTGACAGATCTTCGAAGAGTGATACGCTTACTTCGTAAATCAAGAATAGGCTGAACTTTTCAAGGTGTCTTTGCCTTTTTGGTCTACTGAAACTGTACAGTTGTCTACAACATGTACAGTACAATAATAGGAATTTAAATTCCTTTCATGGAATAGTGGAGTAAACGCGGTAATCCAAAAATTCCAATCAAAATATGAATACCTGTTAGTTTCTTGAATTTTCCCAGAGTTGACCTTAGGATTTTCTTTCCGGTTGCTTTCATAGCTCGTATGTTACTTGTTGAAGACAAGTTTTCCCAAAAATGCTGAGGAAAATACTCCAATGGTGTCCAGAATTCGTGATCTTAACATCATCTAATTGTTCCGTTTCCTGGAGTTTCTGGACATTATTTTCGTTGTTATGAAAAACATTTGAAAGGTTTTCAGAAAAATTCTCGTTTTCGCTACAATCATTATCGGAATACTCAAGGAATACTCAGGAATATCCTCAATCCTGAAGAAAAAATCGCTATTTGCCAATATTGCCTCCAATTCACGTTCTGTCAATATCCTTTTTCTGTCTGTAACTAAACGTATAAAACCTGAGTATGGTAACATATTTTTCTAAGTTTGAATGTCCAAAATTCTTGACAACCAAGGGTAGCTGGGGACCCCTGACGTGACCAGTTGTAATTATATTATTTTCAAATATATATTTCCACAAGTACGTCCAAACATCAAGTAACATACATTAAGAACAATCAATACTTCATACTACAGAAAAATACTACAACTTACTGTATTTTTGTGGAGCCGCCATCATAACCTCACAAGTTTTACCACATGTAACAACAAACTAAAGGGCCTGCGTAGCGCAAGCGGTAGTGTGCTTGCCTCGCATGCCGGTGGTCGTGAGTTCGAATCCTACCGCCGGCAAGAACAACTAGGCATTTTTAAAATGTCTATAGGCCCCAGGTCGACTCAGCCTGAATAAAATGAGTACCTTGGGTAAAACCAGGGGTAATAATAGGCGGTTGAAGCGTAGCACTGGCCATGTTACCTTCCTTGTATACCGTAGGCCCTAGATATAGCAGACTACCCTGCTATACTCCCAAAGCCGCGTGCGGTATAAAACGGGAGACTATTATTATTAACAACAAACTAACGTAGTAGGCGCTGTTGCCAAATTTTTAAATTGGTAAATTTTACTAATAAATAGGAAGTCCAATATGCTGCAACATATGACGCAGCGATGCCCAACCCGAATAGTCACCGTGTAATAACTTTAAATATAAACATTGTACATCTAGCTGCACCTATGAACTTGGGAGGTTATATCCAACATCCACATCCAGTACTCTTAAGATTTTAGATTCTGATGCTTTATCTTAATAAGCGACTTTCTTATAAATATGTTTATTATAGGAGATTTTAGTTAAACTAAAATAAGTTTTTTTTATTACAGGTGGGTCTGTCTCTGCGCATGGTGGGTAGCCCGAGTGGGACTTTCATGGCCCCCAGAAAAAATGAGAAGTTTGAGTTCAGTTCTCCATGTATGTGCATGGACACTACCTGCAGCTCAAACTGTTGCTGCGCTAGTAAGAAGGGACGTGGACTCCGATGATTTAACAGGTAAGGTTACAAACATTGTAAATTGCTTTATCTGTTAGTGCAAAGTAATAATAGTTTGTACTCGTATACATATCGTGGTTTATGCCTGAAGTTGTTGAAATTATTTAGATCTTGCAATTACTTAACTGGATTTATGTAGAAATTCACGTTTCTATTCAAAAGTGCACCTATAAAACTGATTATTTCTTTTGCCTTACCTCTGAAACTTCCTCTCATTTGACCATTTCCTCTGTGTACAAAAAGGGTGTACATATGTGGGAAATTATTAGTATAATTTCAGTCTATGTGGACTGTATTATATAGGACTGGTTCAAATAAATTAGGATATGTAGTAAAGGGTCTACAGACAATAGCAAATTAAGTTTATACAAAGTCTTACCAATATTTTTTCTGCTCCACACACTCGCGGTTATTCTTCTTAGGCGGAATGTGTTTGGACACCGGTTTCTAAACACTTGTTTCGCGGTACTTACATACACTGATATCACGAGATAGAACACACTTTGTGTCTGTAAACGATTTAAAATAGTATATGCGGTATTTTTCGCGTAACTAAAGTGGGAGAGAGATAATTAGCGATAGAAAACAGCCAAGAGAGATGCTGTTCTTCTTGATAAGCGAAGAGAGAGAGAGAGAGAGAGAGAGAGAGTGGACTGTCCTCAACGACAGATACCTGTACCAAGCGATAGGTAACAAGGGAAGAGAGAATGACTGTCCCTAGCGGCAGTCGACAATCAAGAGAGTCTTTTTTCTTTGCTATTTTAAAACTGTCTGTATTTGTAATGGAGTGGGGTTAAAATGGGAGTAGGAAGGGTTATCAAGGGTTGGACTAAGATAATGATTGTAAAATTGTGATATAGAATAGTTAATAATACAGCTATAAAAATACATGATTTTTTCAATGTGAAGAAATTGAACACTCTGTATCCTTTATTAAATCTTCTCATAGGTACTCTATTATATGTCTCTGCATTCAATCTACAATCCTTTTGCATATGCCCTGACTTGTGACATCTGTAACAAACTACGGTTTTCATTAAAAAAACTGCTGGTTTTCATATTTTGTAGTGCTGGATGAAGATGCCTTCTTTCTTTCCACTTCTACTCGAAGTTTTTTCTTTGCCAATTCAATTGTTAACACTTTTGGATTTAAATTTTCTAGAATTGCAATAACTGTTTCGAAGAATAGTGGCAGAGAGAGTAAGTAAGTTACATACTAAATCTTTGTCCAAGATTTCCACTACCGTTGCTTTCAATTATCTTGTTACATCATCGAACTCATTAAAAAACTGCTCCAGATCATCGACCTCTTTTAATTTCATGATTATTAATTTCTTGCTCAAAATCATTTGTCCAAGTCTTTTTTCGTATCGTTCTTGCAAAGCGTGCCACATATTATAAGCTGTTGGTTTATCTTGATTAACCTCTAATTGATTGTCATGTATACATTGTACAATTATTGACCTACAAGCTCTATCTTTCTGTTTCGCTGCTAGATTTTGTCTCTTCTGTATACTTATTCTTATTGAGATCTGCAGTAATCCATTGTTCAACTTCTTCTTCAATTTCGATACAGAATAATTGGCCCCATTCAAAAGTTCAATACTAAATGTATTCTTTACTGTACTTGCCATATTATATTTCTATAGAGTTTTCTGGGGCCAAAACCTGTCGGATTATGGATTAAAACTCTTAAAGTCTTTGTTCCTTAGCTTTATTTTATACTTAATATCAATACATACTACTTAGACATTTTATATTTTACCATCTGCTTCTGCACCATAACCTATTCAACCTCTATTTCTAATCATCTGTCATTCTGATTCACTCAATGACACTGAATATCACAAAAAGGATTAAGGGAAGTATTACACTTTACATTCTTGATACCTTTCGACCCGTTTATTTAGATAGTTATCGGATGATTTCTAATAACTGTGGCAAGGACTTCATCATCTTCATCTTTAACTCGACAATCCCTCTGTGGATCTGCTCCAAGATTTGTCAACATTCTGTTCATTTTCCATGCGTGTTTACATATAAGGCTGATAGCACGGAAATCTTCACACCTTTTCGCAGATCGTTTTTTTGGTAGTATTATAAATGTTGACAATAGCCATTCCTCTGGGATATTACCTGAATCGTATATAGCCAACTTCTCATTAACTTTGTTCTGAAGCTATTTTCTTGTGGCATTTTAAATTAATTGCTATTTAACTGGAAATAATATTTTTATCTTTAATTGTGGCTTATTCCCAGTTAAATAGCAATTAATTCTCCTTAACTTCGGGTTCCCGTGTTTGTTTATGAGGAGGAATGTGTTCTCCTCATATATTGACCAGTGGCTTCTCGAATCTTTCGGTGGATATTTATATGATCGTTTCACTTGGAGCTATTCGATTAGTTTACATTTTTCTTGCATCCATGTCTTCTCGGCTCTTCGTATTTCTTTTTTAATTTTTTTGTTGATTTCTTGGTATTTCTTTGCGTCCCTGTTTTTCATTAATCATCTTTGGTCCTTCATCTGCAGAATGTCATCAGTTATCCATTCTTTATTTTTTACTCTTGTTTTCTTTCCCAGATGTTCTTTTCCCGCATTTTGCATGACGTCTTTGATATAACTCCATTTTTGTTCTACATTCTGTTCTTGTTGTTTAGCGGCTTCTAGTTTTTCTCTCATTGCATCTCTTACGTTTTGACGAACTACGGGGTCTTTTAGAGAGTCATCCAGGTTCTGTTTAGGTTTACTTTTGATGAGTTTCTTTAGTTTGGCCCACTAATGGGTTGTGGTCTGATGAGACGTCTGCTCCTGGGAAGGTCTTCACCGAAGTCAAGCTCTTCTTGAATCTTTTGTTAATGAGAATAAAGTCTATCTAGTTTCTGATGATATTGTTGGGTGTATCTGCAGGTGACGTCCACGTATAAGTCGTCGACGATGTTTTCTGTTCTGATTTTTCAAACTTTGGCATTGAAATCACCCCTGATGATGGTATGAGGGATATGATGGTAAGAGGGAGTGATGGTTAATTCTTTATATTTAATATTTTTAATATGTTTGATGTTCACTTATTCTAACATTTAATGGTCTTGATGTTTCACCTAAATAAAAATGATCGCATTCACAAGGTGTTTTATAAATATAATTCTTTGTTCTGAAGGTCTGTTACCATCTTTTGATGTTTAATATCCCTAAGTCGGTGTTCTCCTGAACTCCATCCAACCCTTAATTCGCAAGGACTTCGCTATTTCATTGTAATTGTTAATTTTCTATACCTCTTCCCATTTGATATGTATCGTTTTCTTTCTGTTTGTCATGGAGTAGTTTTTCAAAATGCTCTTTGTCTCCTTTTTTTATTTCCTATTAGGTGTTTGCGAATTTATCCGATCAGTAAATTTTTATATATGTTTTTGAATCTTTTTCTTACCCTGTATTCTGTATGATATTTGGTTGTTCAGACACGAGTACACAGTGATCATAAATAATTTAATATTCACGAGGCAAACTCAAGTTTCCAATTAGAATCTTGTCACATTAAGCGGGAATCCTTTTAAAGTCATGAACGAATAAAAGATATATTTCTTCTTTTTCAAAAAGTTATATGGTAAAAGTCACAGAACAACATGGGTACGAGTAAATGCGTACATTACTTGAAGTCGAGATATATGTGGTACCGCCTCTTGTTTCTGAAAAATACAAGTATAACTGGAATGAGAATAATTTAAACTGTTTTTTCAAAGAAATGGAGATAAATAGAATAGTTTTTATTATTGGAATGAAAGTAATCATAGATGTTTGTTTCATTATATACACACCGGCAATTTTAATAGAACACAGGTATATTTTATTTTATTTTTTTACTTTTAGCTAATTTGAAATAATTGTTTATCAGAAAACGTTAACAGTAAACTCCAACTATTGCCTTTTGGTAAGTTTTTCAATTTGTATATGACGAAATTAAATTGAACAATGAATCAAAATTGCAATAATCATTTTTCTCAACCGAATTTTTTTTATACTACCTTCACCATTTTAAGTCCTTAAAATTTGTGAATAACATTATCGGAGTAGGGTCCTGGGGAGGGGGTTTAACCCCCAAAACCCCCCTCCCCCTGGGTGCGCCACTGAAATAAACATCACCAAAACAAAATTCATGACAAACTATCACCAGATAGGAAGTGAGGCCTGCAGAAATCACTGCCACTTAAACACTCCTACGGTGCCTTACAGAGGGACTTCGACCAGTCAATTCGAAGTCCACACTGCGTAAATTCCATTGTCGATAGATGAGTGATGTTTCTCACACAAGTAAATATAGGAAGTAAAATAAAACACTTTTTGAGAGTGGAAAAAACAATATGGACGATGTCTATAAGAAACTGAAAGAAATGACAGATAGACATAGAAAGAGACAAGAAAGAATACAATAACGAATATAGCATCGAATAAAACAATAGGAATATATAAGGAACAAGAAGAAGAGGAACAATCTGGCTTTAGAGCGGGAAGGAGCTGCACCGATAATGTGTTTGTTTTGAAACAAATAATAGAAAAAAGATCAAGTACCAACCAAGAAACCCACCTTATGTTTATAGACCTTCAGAAGGCCTATTATACTGTACCCGCTAAAAAGCTATGGAAAGTTTTGCAGGAAACAAACATTAACCACACAGTAACAGCTTTATGAAGGATCAACGTAGGGAATAAAAATTGGAAATAGACTTTCAAAAAAATTTCCTGTAAACAAGGGATTCCGGCAGGGATGTTGCATACCCCCCACATTGTTTAAAATCTACGTGGTGAAAGCACTGTATCAGTGGAAGAGAAAGTGCAGAGGAATGGGCATTGACCTGGGAGAAACTTGCCTATATACCCTACAATTTGCAGACGATCAAGTCCTTATAGCCAACGATAAAGAAGACCTGACATATATGGCCAGAAAACTACAGGAAGAATACAAAAAGTGGGGTTTAGAACTCAATACACAAAAAAACAAAATATC